AATTTTGACGTCCTCCTAATGTCACCACCGACGTGGTGTAAATGCCACTGCAATACCGTGCCTCCGTGTGAAAATCATCTATTCCATGTATTGTTCATGATACGAAACCCAGGGAAGAACTCACTGTTAAGGGAAAACTTACTCCATAGTAATTACAACAATCTATTGACTTTTACATTGTAATACATTGGACCGCTTAGATCTATTGCTATTTTTGTTCATATTTCCTATTCAATGGGTCATAGATTGTTCGCAGCACAAGATCTGCATAGCCGAAATTTTTCAGCTCAGTTATCCTCACTTTATACTAAGTAAGGTTTCGATCATCTAAAAGAGCTATTAGTTCTCAATTAGACTGGGATAAACTTTAAAGAAGGCAAAGTATTTTATGTTTAACCAAAAGAGAGCTAACTTGACGGACAGTCCATGCTGCCGAAGCACTTGGGCGGTTCCTCCGGAAGCGACAAGCGTGAATCCCGAATCTCTCAGTCCACTAGCTAGCTCGCGAATCCCCCTTTTGTCCGAAACAGAGAGAATCACTAAATAGAATGAATCTGTGCTTACTTTCCAAATAACAAGTTACTTCTTCCAACATTCCAGAAAACCTTTATAAACTAAATAAAAGCAGACTGGAAATTAGATATTTAACACAGGATGGTGGATGCCTGTTTTGAGACAACTGTCGACCCAAATGTCAAAATCGATCCCAAGCAAATCAGATTAAGGTAAAACCACCTGATTCGTTATCATGTGATGAAGAGATGGAAAAAAGCAAAACTTCTCCGTAGAAGATGGGAAGCTACTATAATAAAACTCAGAACTTTTAACACATAACGCCTGAAGAAGTTTTTCGACAAATGACAACGATTGATCATTAGAATGATGGAGGCTTACATCCCAACGAGTTCCCCACTCATTTGGACTGGGAGGTGTTCTTAGGTGTCGAGCTGTGATGTACAGCGGAGGGATTCATACCTCTGGCAGAGTCTTTCAAACTGAGAAGGGGTCTGGCGTTTCCATCAGAAGCCCAGCAAGGAGTAAACCAATACCAGGATCCACATCGTCCTGGTATGAAACTTGTCGCATGGTGGCAAATCTTCCTCTGATCCACAAGGGCGCCCAATGCCTGTGGAGGTGACGACCTGGAGAAGACTTTGGCTAGAGTGTCCTCGGGACTCCAGGGAACCACAATGACTAAACGAGCAAAACTCCGAGAAAATACAAATTGTGCTGTGGTTAGCACAAACAGTGAAGACGGGCCATCCAAGCATCCAATAAGTAATGAAGTCTTAGTAGCTGCAAATATTGATAGAACAGATCCTGTTCTATCGCTTCAATCGTGTACGTCATTTTTGTAAAATAACCCTTGAATTCAACGCGTTTAAAATTCCCTCAGGAAATTGGACGTAAACGAGGCATTCCCAAAAAGCAACGATGCATTGGTAAACACGGTCTTGGGCAAAACCCATCTGACCAACTGGCCCACATGAAAAAGTGAAAGAAACATGCATCATGAGGTCTACAAAAACAGAACTTTGTCTTTTTAGAACAAAACAACATGGTTAATGTTGGTAAAGATCTACAGATTCTAATTTAACAGACGAATTTTAACAGAAACGAAGATAGATGAAGCTGCAGTCAAAATAACAATATTTAGACTTTTAGTTTTAAACTTCCATGAAAAGCAATAAGCGATTACTTGATACTTGATACTTGAACGGCACATCCTCACTACTTGTGCGGACCCCAGCAAAAACACCACTTTTCGGAGATTTATTGGTTAAGTCATTGTGGTTCCCTGGAATCCCGAGGACAGCCTGGCCAAAGTCTGCACCAGGTCGTCACCACGACAGGCAGTCGCAGCCCTTGTGGATCAGAGGGAGATTTACCACCATGCGACTTTGATACCAGGACGGTGATGGATCCTGGTATTGGTTTACTCTTAGCTAGGTTTCCTGATGGAAACGCCGGACTCCTCAGCTTGGGAAACCCTGCGAGGTGGGGGACGAATTCTCCGCGCTGTACATCGCAGTCCGACACCCAGGAACACCTGGAAGTAACGATGAGGCGGTAAACCGTTGGGAGGAATAAACACTGGGTTCAATGACGATTTGTGCTCCACAGATCATTCCCGTTAGCGAGTGATTGCTGATAGCACCGACAGGGTGAAAAACGTTGCTAAGAGAAGGAAAGGAAAAGTAAAGGCCTCGTTGATGTGATGGATGGCACGCCAGACCACTTAAGGGATGGTCATAGGTTCGAACCCCAACTGTGACACCGAATTCTGCTCATGTCTCAGCATCTTTGCAGCCGAGATATGACACAATGTATAAGTTTTAATTTACCGTCCATTATTTTTTTATGGAAAGATATTATGTGAAATACAGCCACAATGAAGCTGAGGCATTTGCAAAACTCAGATCCCACTCCAGGATTTTATGGTAAAAAAACGGCTGAAAAAACCAAGTCCCAGTGGTACATATAGTGGACAACATGTGAACCCCCAGAAAAGGGTAACCTAGAGTTCGAATCTGGACTGGTGCCTGCGTTTTGCAGATACCTCAGCCTCACTGAGCTATGTTAGAGTTGAAGGCGGTCCCTTTGCTTTACCATTTCATGCACAGTACTTAATGCATTCAGGAAGTTTATGTTAGACAACGGCTTGCCGTATCACGGAAGACACTTCGTTCGTATTTCGTTCTTCAATCTTGTTAATAGAAGATAAAAAGCAGTGCTCAATTCGCAATTAACAAACCCAGAAAGCTTAAAGCAATCAGTCTCTAATCAAATTCAACCTCAATCCCACATTCTGGAACACTATTTAAAGTCTATAATGCTAAGATATTTGCAAAACACCGGACCGCAGGTGTCTGCGGTGGGGAACGAATGCGCTATTGTCGTTTCCGGGAAGCAACGCGTTCACCACCACACCATGCGGGTCCTTCGTTTTGCCTGTCTCTCACCTAGTTCTATCGATCTTTTTGCCATCAGCAATCACCCGTCAATGGGATTGATCTGGGGAGCCCAAATCGGCATTGAACCCAGTTAAGCTGAGGCTATAGTTATAATCAAAATCTTAACCTTTTTTATTTACTGCATATTCTTTTTAACTGCGGGGTATGTTGCGAAATATAACTTCTATAATGCTGAAATATTTGCAAAACTCCGGACCACAGGTGTCTGCGGTGGGTAACCAAAGCGCTATTGTCCTTTTCGAGGAGTAGCGCGTTCACCACCACACCATGCTGGTCCTTCTTTAGCCTGTCCTGTTCCTGTTCCCCACCGCAGACACCTGCAGTCCGGAGTTTTGCAAATATCTCAGCATTATAGAAGTTATATTTCTCAACATACCCTGCCGTTAAAAAGAATAGGCAGTAAATAAAAAAGGTTAAGATTGTGACTAATTAAAGTCCCTCTCTTTTGGCTTGCAATGATTGTCAGGGATTAGATACCACAAACGTTTCCACCTGTAAAGCGTGTTAGTACGGAATCATGGTCACCTAGTTTCCCATAACATTTTCTTCAATCGCGTTCTTTAACAGACTTAACAGCAGCGATGCTGAGATATTTGCAAACATCCGGACCGCAGATTTCTGCGATGGGGATCGAACACGCTATTAGCATTTATGATTATATTTCACATCCTACCAGCTATGAAAAAAAGTAGCCAGTAAACAAGAAGACTTAACAGCCTTTGAGAATACCGCCTAAACCTGATCTCCCCTCTGCCTTAACCCATAAGCAACATCATCGAGTGATGAATAAACAACATAAACTGAAATGTACTTACCAAGCCTTTCCTTAATCATCGTTGATTAATCTGAAAAAATAACGCTTTGTTTATGAGCACGCAAAATATAAGTGAAGATGAGATGAAGATGATCAAAGGGGAATAATGAGACCAATCTCAGAGAAGAAACAGAGTCGATGCATCTATGACAATAGGGCAAATGAAATCAAACTGATAAGAAAACTGCCGTCTCAGGGCGAAACCGGAATCGACTGGAGGCGGACCAGACATAGATCAAATGACCTTGCCTAAATATAGCCCTATATTGAAGAATCGTTTACAAACGGATGGTGACAACATGAAGATGGAAGAGGAGTAAGAAATAAAAGGATAAAACTCTCGGGTCTACGCCAATTACAATGACTCGCGGTGGCCTACCGATGTATCGAGTCAGTGCTGCTACCCTCCCAGACAAGTCTACTAATTTGCGGACCTCGGAGAGATAGAAGGCTCGGTGGGTCGTGGGCGCTGAAATCGATACCATGTGTATTGCAGGGCGCCTCAGACCACTGCGTCACACGCGCCTCTCAGAAGTAAACTTAATCTTCAAGGAGAAGGGTAAATGCATCAATTCCAAAGACTGAGTTTCTAGTAATCTCCGCATTGATCGATAATTCGCTGTTTTTTCCTTCAATGATCAATGAGGAGTGAACGGTTAGCAGCAAATGAAACATAGATCGAGCAGATAACAGTCCCACCCGTAGTGCACTTCGGCACACAAACAGCCAAAAACCCTTCCCTACATACGTGAGGATTTCGTAACAAAAGCGAAACAAATACCGCTCTGCAGTCTCTTTTTTAACGAACTGTTGAAGAACGTACATTCAAACCAGTTAAACAAAATTTATTTCACTCAACAAACAATTAACGACAAACCCAGAAGAAAGATATGATGCTCAACGAGCAAGAGCGAACAGAACCCACTGGGCTACTCTTGTACGCGACAGGGAAAAATGGAAGATTTATTGGCATCCGCTCGAGTCACTCGACGATCTACGGGACTACAGGTGATACAGGTGACATATGACTATAACAACATTGGAACATTAAGCTCTATGGAAATCAATGCTTTGCAATTTCCACAAGCATTGCCTAAAATTAGTACAGTGTATTTTACAGACTTTCCATAGGCTTTCTAGAGCTGAAAACTCATTGAACTAACTACTCGAATGTAATGAAAACATGGATATTACGATAATGAGGCAGCGTCTTATTCGAGCTGACCGATGGGTGCATTTTGAAGCCAGATCTTATGAATACACACGTAGAACTTCTTCGAGACAGAAACCTGAACACAAAGTAGAGATATGTAGACGAGGAGATTTTGATAAAAATATTACAACTTTGTAAGGAGTCGGATTGAGGTAACGACGATGGTGCTCTCGCAGTGTTTTCCATGATGCATTCACTCGATCCTACAATCGAAACGAAAAGCGATTATCCTTTCAACTTATTCCTTGAAGATGTAAAAATTATTAAAACTTGCAAAATCAATGGATAATTCATTTCCCAGTAGCAAAACCTAACAAACAAATACGGGCAGAATACCTTCTTGATTCCAATAATAGTCTTCCTTTGATAAGCTTACACGAAGTTGATAAATATTCTTCATTTTCGGCAAACGTTCTGACGCTTTCGCCTTCATCAGAGTGGATCATTCGAGTCTTCATCACGAACAACTATGGACCATCGACTCAGATCATCGGCTCTGATAATGACGAAACCGTCGAAACGTTAGCCGAAAATAAAGAATATTATCGACCTCGTGTAAGCTTATCAAAGAAATAATACATATTGATTAGTCACAACGAAGTTAAAGGAAAGTTGATTCTGAAATATCATAACTTATTCCTTTAAAATGTAAAATTCTCAACGTTACACACAGTTCATGTCCTAGTCATCATTCACAAACCGTGTAACTTTCGTCAATTTCATGTGAACTCAACAAAACCACGAAGAAATCAGCACAGTGTGGTATAAAGCGCAATGTCCGTCATTAGGTTCCATCCAACTATCATCTTGGTCCGCTGGAATGTATTATTGCTACAATTAAACACAATCACTAACTCGATTTATCCGAGCATCCACCACTCAAGATTCCATTCTGTCCTGCGGTCATCACGAGATACTCCGTAGACGGAACTTATTCAAGGGATGCGAAGGCAAGTATACTTTTTACCAAACTTCTTATATTGGGTAACCCTAATGGAAGAATGGATAACTTTAAACAAGGTAGCAATACTACAATACTAAGCCATCTGTGTCCCTCGTAATATTCTTAATGGTCGAATAAGCCGAGCGATTACCAGAAAAGTCTTCACTAGTTCCTTTCGAACGCTAAATCTGCACAGACTCTGTCCTTTTGATGGATACGAATTCCATTGCTTCCCACACGTACTATTCTTACTGTTCCTGTGGAGAAATTATCAATTGGCCCAACCGTAGTTACTAAATATATCTGCAGGAAGTCAAAGGGACAGTGACCAGCACCAAGTATAGTCATCGCTTTTATGTCCAACGTGGAAGCTTCGTTTGCCAACAGTCGAGCTTTACTATACTCTGTCCATACATAGCTGATCGCTTCATCTGCTTTACATAAGAGCAGATAGACAAATCTTCTTAATTACTTAACAAACAATCAGAACATAAAATTTATGTGAGAAAAGCCTGAAGAGAAGTGGCTTCCATACTTTTAAACACAGCCTCCCGAAAGTGGTTATACCAGAAGTTGGTATCTGAAGTCAAATAACAGAAACGTTCTAGTCCACATCCAGTATTTCTCCTTTCATCTTTCACATACGAAAAAAGCTCTTGTTATACGCATGTACCGAACAGATACAACCGTGTACATAGGAGAAGAGAGGAGAGGAGTCGCTACACCGCCCACGACAGCTGGCCAACTCAAATAGTTACCAAGCAGAAACCACGCAGGTTATACCTAAGTGATAACTTAAGGCCCAAAATAACACTTCACACCCAAATAAGATCTCTTCCAAGCTTTATATCCCGTAAAATAAGCATCAATAATAAGATGTGCCTAAAAATTAGCGGTCTAGAGAGTTTTTTGACAGTAACTGGATGTCCACTGAGCACTCCACATCGTCGGTTAGTCTGCAAACTGTACGACTCTATGCGGAAGTGAAAATTGCTCGATTCGCCCTAACGGCATAGAGATAGAGAGAGAGAGAGAGAGCGGTAGAGGTAGAGATAGAGATGGAGAGAGAGAGAGAGAGAGAGAGAGCACTATCTCCGATAAAATATACCTTATCGCTTGCAAGACCTGAAAAATACATCTGCAGAATGGCTAGGCCACTTTGCATCTATGTAAAAGAACGCCTAGATAGGTTAAAATCCGACAAGGTTCTCCTCTGAATACACACACGACACAAAAAAACCACTGATATCCTAAACAGACAGTACCGACCCTTGAGCAAAAATCAAAAACAGGAATGTGCAAAACTTCTGAGGCCTTCTGCGTAGGTCTCAAAAATGCAAAAATGAATCGAAACAAGGAGTGCTTTACCAGCACCCGTAACTCAGCAACCTATTTCAAAACACTCATCTGATCTGATAGCATCGCAGCTTAAAAGACGAAGACCATGCGTACTTTTTTGAATATTAGTTTCTTATTACGATCACAGAATAATAAGCGAACAATAAAGATAAAATTATATACCAACATGTCAAGGCTCTGAAGAAAGCAGTGTATTATTCTTCGAAGCATTAGCTGTCGATCATCAAAATTATTAACAACCTCGTGCCAAGCTATGACAGGTGACAAAGTTCTTCGTATTCCTGTTGAGCAAAAACGAGGTGTTATTTTATTCTTTATCACGATGAGGCTGACGTTTCGCCCGATTTCGTCTTCCTCAGAACCTGGAGAGGTAGGTTGACATCAATCTAGCCAGCCAAATACCTCCATAACTTAACAGGGAAAATACGAAACTAAAGCACCAAAACGCTTATGAAGGTGTTTCGCTGTAAAGATTTTGTCAACTTGACCTCTCTAGGCTCTGAGGAAGATAAAATCCTCCGAAGTGTCAGCATTATCGTAATAAATAATGAAACACCTCCTTTGGTTCAACAAGAATACAAGACATAATCGGTCATGGAGATAATTCGTAAGTTAATATTACAAGTAAATTAAAGCTCACTTTAATGGCTGCAATGTTAGGCATATTCTTTGCGATCTTGCCATCGCACCAGAAAAGACCGTGCAGAGGTTCGACATAACTGGCCACCACCAAAGCCCGTTTGCATTCCTGTATGTGGCATTATTACTTTCACTTCAGTGCACCACAATACCAAGTTAGAACATAAGTCCTTGTCGGCCTTGACAGCCCTTTCAATTTTGGTTGCACTTATTCAGGAAGACCAGACAGGACTGGTATGAGACTCGCACACACCACCATGCTGGGATATAAGCACCATCATGAACGAAAATCGCGAAGGAAAGAAACGAATGGCAAATGTGCCAGGCTCCACACAGTGATGATGGACCGTCCAAATATCCAAGTAAGTAAATACTCAGAAAAAACACTCATCTGCAATTTTGATCGTCGCCAAAATTTTATACATACGGGTAAGACTCAGAGATGCTGAGCTACATAGACTAGTCCCGTTTAGTCAAACTGTGAGGTTTAGAACAAACCCTCAGTTTGTGGTACCTCAACGAGATAGTATGAACTAAACCGAGTGGGCACTACCAACCACATGTGTTCGAGCTTGTCGCGTAGACTGTTCATGCCAAAAATAATGGACTATGGACGCAAATCTTGGCAGCTCATGTGGCCGTGTTCGAAGCACCTTACAAATTTGCAACAAAAGCGAATTTTGTGTGGCAGCCTTGCTCGACGAGTTTTGATTTTTTTAACTCGCAAGAGCTGCGAACCGAGAACAACTCATGAAATCCATTTCCTGGTCATAGAGAAAATTCTAGAACATACGTTAATATTCACAGGGTAAAAAGGGAATTGTGAACGAAGATTGGCAAAGACTTATGCTTCAACCTAATTTTTTCAGAGGGTAGCTGGAAGCGAATAGTGATCTTATTCACTCATGTACTCCGGTAAATGAGAATAATCTTAATTTGACAATAACGTTGATGTTTAATTTAACGGACGGGAAACACCCAAGGTGTTTCTCCCAAACCAAAAAACAAAACCCATGAGGGTCATAGCCATGCTACAAGTCTGCACAAATAGATAAATGGTAAACTAAGACTCCGACATAAATCCTACTATAGCTTACTAGTACTGAATAGGTACTTTCTGTACCCGTATGTAACGTGCCCGTATGTTTTCTATATAGCAAACGCAATTTTAAAAAAACCATGAATTCGAAGTCTTGAGGTAATGAAAAATATACATGAATCTAGTATATGCATCTTATGAGCTGACCTCAGAGGGATGACGACAAAGAAGCGGCTTGTTACACACACGGTCCTGTTCCTCTTCGAGCACTATCAGGTCCAAAATATAGAAACCAGATTTTCCGTAAAGCCGAAAGCTTCTCTTCAGTCCAGGAATTGTATTCTTCGACAACTCTTGATTTAGCTTAAATTTTTGGTGTCCAGATAACACGACCAAATGAAAATATGTCTTCGGTAAAGTGGAAAATACATCACTTAACTTATTAACTACATTCTTAACTACTACTACTAACTACATTCTTACATTGGCCAGTAATCATACCTTGCACACACAGCAAAGAGCTGGCTGTTTTTGACAGGTAACGAGATGAGTACCACTTCCAAAGCATCGATTTCACGCTGAAAATGTTCGAATCAATTAATGTTATCGAATTTATAACACTTTTTCAACATTTCAGTTCTGAACGTTTGAATAGACACACCAATAGTGAAAGAAAACTAGTAAAAGAAATGTATAGATCTCGGTGGTTGGCATCCTCCCAACGATTTATCGCCTCATTTTGGTGGGAGGTGTAGCCGGTCTTAGGGCTGCGATGTATTGCGGGAGGATTCATCCCCCGGCAGGGTTTCTCAAGCTGAGAACGAGTCCCGCTTTCCATTAGGAAGTTCAGCTAAGAGTAAACTAACACCAGGATACACCACCATCCTGGTATCAAACTAGTCGCATGGTGGCAGGTCTCCCTCTTATCCACAAGGGCGGCGACTGTTTGTGATGGTGACGACCTGGGGCAGACTAGTTAGGCTAACCTCTGGACTCGAGGAAACCACAGTGACTAAACCAGTGAAATCCCGAAAAAATGGTGATAATGGTGGGGCCCGCACAGCCAGTGAGAACGGGCCATCCAAGCATCCAAGTAAGTGCACATCCCAGTGGTCGGCTTAAACATATTTTTGACTTTATCTGGTACCACTAACCAACTGTTCATTGAGTGATATGATCGTTTCCTCATTAATATCATTCGAAGCCACAATCAGAAGGAACTCGATCCAACGGAAGTAACGTCCCCAAAATATAAGCCGATTTACTGGAAAATGACTGAAGGTTTCCACTCGATATTAGAGAACTTAAGAAAAACTGTTAGAAACTCACAATCCAGCAACCATTCGTAACCGCCTTCGAACTTCCTTCGATAGATAGGCCAAATTACCACTATCTATCCGGCATTCCACGGACCTATATCCAAGCAGGAAAAGTGCCAAGGTGACAGATATAAAGTTGATAACTCCACTTCTACAAGTGAAGATAGAAGACAACAAAAAGATCAGATGTCTCAGTCGGACATAAGAACCTCAAGACATCATAGGTGTCGATGAGAAAAACACTTGAGTTTGGGAGGCGATAGCGTATGAAACGAATGCAGCCAGTTCTCCATCATTCACTCCCGATCCTAAAACATCCCACCCAACCTGCAAAATCGATGTTTTCAAAAACCTTGTAGAGCGCCGAATAAAGAAACTTGGGAAAGAATAATTACTAGACGACCGACATAACCCCAAAAATAGGTGATTCCTAACTCTGACTGTTTCAAAATAATTTACATGCTATTCACCTTCTCCATAATCCACTGTCTTTTCCCTTTGCTCAACGAGTGTAGGTCACATCCTACGGACCCGTCATTACTCTTTAATGATCGCAATTTTAGATCATCAACAGAGGAAAACGAGCAGATAAAACTGTGAGCATGGGTACCCTTAATTGAGATTCCGAAAAGTATGCCAGCCAACAGATTCCTTGTCCCGTCGAACCCTGAAAACTGGAATTTCACCAAGTGCACTATTTCAAAAATGTACATAACGACCTTCAATATAGCAGTACTAGCTGGCAGAAATACTACCATTTGGTCTTTGAGTTCCTGGAAGCCCAAATTCAAGCATTTCCAACTTGCCCCCAGCAGCCTTCAGTCACACAACGTAAAAATTAATACGATAGACATAATGAAGCTGAGATATTTGCGATACTCCAGACCGCTGATGTCTGCGGTAGGGACAGAACCCATAACTACCCTTTCGGTTAGCGTTAGCGTTCACCACCACACCATGCAGGTCCGTCGTTTCGCCTTTCTCTCAACCATGTTATTGACGTAGAGGTCCCATCAGTAATTATTCGTGCTCACCGCAATCACTAGTAAAATATAAGAAACAAAAAAAAATACTAATTTGGCAGAAAATACCTGCCTGAGTCGGGACGCATTTGTAGCAACGAGAGATGCGAAATTAACCAGATCGAGATCCCATGAGCTGACAAACCGCTAATAGCCCTTCTACTGTCATTAGGCGAACTCTTGTAAATACGATTGAATTAAAAGCTAAAAGAGCTCTCGGCGTTGATCTATCCCCTTGGGATGCAACATGCATTCAATTTCACTAAGCATCGCCTGGAGGTGATTGGATGCATATTTGGGCTTTACAATAACTCGCAGTGGCCTACCGATGTGTCGAGCCAGTACTGCTATCCTCCTAGACAAGTCTGGTACCAATTTGCCAATCAAGGAAGGATGGAGGCCTTGGTGGGGCAGGGGCGCGGGGATCGATCCCATTTATGCCACAGGACGTCTCCGACTACTGCGCCACACACGCGCCGAGAACAAGATTAGTGCCTAGCAATGCATACATAGCCTTCAGGTCAATCCTTTGCCTCGGGGAAAACAAGTTCGCCATCCATGCTGTTGGCAAATTGATACCAGAATTCTCTAAGAGAATAATAAGAGAATGTATGTCACTCAAAGGACTTTTGAACACGGCTCGGTTTCCGATGCCAAGTTCGGACGAAGTTATCAAGATTCTTTAAGAAGTAACAGTCGGTAGACGATATTTCCCTTGACGAGTGCAAGCCGGATTTTGTTATTTTCTGGACGTATTTCTCCGCTGCAATCGTTTCACATGGATTCAGCAAGCTATCATCAATCGAACCAACTGTACACCACCGAACAGTTTGCATCATCGTTTTTTGGTGCAATTTCGGTTCCTAAAAGTGCTACGGAGTTTCTGAGGTTACCACACAGAATTCAGTTCTGGTTATATATCACGTTACGATCAAGAAAAAAGTCATTCTTGTTACGTAGAAAAAAATTTAAAATTAAAATTGGGTGAAAAATTCCTCTTCTCCTTTTCCAATTCCTACGGCATCTATTCTCTGAAGTTTTCCGACTTTCCAATTATCCTCAAACGGTAGAAGGTGCTTACAGCAGTGTTTCTGCAAGTTCTGCAAAAGCCATGCATGCATTTTCATCCAGCAACGCCTTGAATTCATTGCCGTGTATGAAAGAAGGACGTCTGCAAGCTTCTTCCTCCTCAGGGTCGTATTCGCCACGATAAAATTTTCGAAAACATCGTCTCGTGCATTCTTTAATCCTCCCTGGTGCTGTTTCCTTAATATTTCCAAAGGTTTGCACCGCATCACGTCCGAGTTTGAATTCGCAAAAATATGTCGAAATAGGTGTTTCCACGTCTCATTTACTAACCTATAAAATTGGTCAGAAATGCGTTTTATATTATAACTAAGTTAGACCGCGCGAAAGGGCATAAAATGCGCTTTCCACTTATAACAGGACATCACTCGAAAAAAAAATTATTGCAAGGATTTAGACATTGAAAAACCTTCACTAATTTCTGAGGAACCTTATAGTACGCTAAGAATGCAATGCTCCGCAATTTACGCTATGCTTGTTTCGCTCACCCGAAACGAGTGCGACTTTCGGAAGCGCATTTAGTGGAGATTCAACGATAGCTGATGCATGAAGCGCAGTGATTAGGACACCTGGGAGCCACAGCTTCTTTGACTCCACTTCACCATTCTGGCTAGCCAACAAGTCATTGTATAGGGTACATATATATTCACCCTTCTAAGATATTTTCCACAGTGCTCAAAACGCCTAGTTTTTGTCACCTTTAGCGCATTTTTCGTTGACATACTTCGAAAGTCAGGATTTGGACAAACTGTAGAAAACGCTTTGTTGCATTTCTCTCATGTTATTAAAAACTTTCCTAAAATAAATGAAATCTCTGAGAATTAACGGAAGAACTGTAGCCATAAACACCAACGTTGGATTGGACAACATCAGTACGCCCTATAAAGCGAAACACCGCTCGTTCATCCGCTTCCACGTTCTATTTAGCAAAGGCTTTAGTTGACAAGCATGAAAAAAACAACGTGTGAGACGAACAAAATCCGGAGCTTATTTCTATGTTCTTCCATTATTATACCCTGAACAAAATGGTATCTACTTCATCATCAGTCTCATGTAAGCACCACGTCTCAACATCAGTCAATGTTATTATGCAAGCATCTCCATTTCAAATTCGTGACCTGCAGCCGACGTGCTTTCCCTGCGCTGTCACCTCTATGTAACCATTGGAAGTGCCAACGAGCTCGCAACATCACTTGGTGGATAGACTCTGTCACTTTATGCGCCATATTCAAGCATGGGTTGTTTCGGTATTGGCATATAACCATTGCTGTATTATTACTGTTATAAACGTTTTAATTACCCATGTTTGAGATTGTGCTCTGTAGCAATGTCAAAAAATTCCGCGTGACGAATGCGTACAAATTCGAGCATTCTACTTCGAGCAAGTGATTATTCGGTGCCAAGGACTGACTCGAAGATCTACATTTCACTGCGTAATCAATTAAATTATGGTTCACCTAAGTATTTCTAATATCTCCATTGTGATTTCGTTAGGAAATCCTTTATTGTTCTTCCTACAGGTGCTAGCAAAATGAATCCTTCTTTCGAATCACTTTTCGGCTATACTTACTTACACGGATGCTTGAACGGTCCGTCTTCACGAGATGTGAGCCCAGCACATGTGCCATTCGTTCCTTTCTCTCGCAATCGTAGTCCATGGTGGTGGTCTTGTTCGATCATGGCAGCGCTTGCGAGTCTCATACCGTGATCTGCAAAACAGTTGCAGCTGCGGGTACACCTGATTAACTTTGTTCACGAACACGTCCGCCCAACGTGTAGGTGGTCGTCCAAGAGGACGTTTGCGTTCTTTTCTTTTCTTTTCGTCCATCTGTCGTCGGATCTTCTCAAAATGTGACCGGCCCATTTATGTTTCGCTGTCGATATATATTCTCCTGGATCTCGAAGATGTGACAGATTTCGAAGGTCAGAGCTTCGCTTTCTGCTTAATATTGAGAGTGCCGGTTATATTTCAGAAGACATGGCTCAAGTGCTCTGTGAGTAGTGCGAAGCATTCATGACGTAGTTGAAGTATCAACCCACGTTTCTGCAGCATAACAGAGCACTGGGAGGACCGTAGAATCAAAGAGATGAGAGCGGATTTTCGGGTCCTTCAGTAGGTCAGTGGCTTCCTTGAAAGACCCGAATGCGGCCCAAGCTGCTCTC